TTTCTGATAAAAACAACAGGGAACAACCCCTCTTTCAAAAACTGGAGTAAGACCTAGGCTCAGTCAGACTTGGCGAGTTTGTCTATAAAGTACCGTTGTATTGATAACACTTTTTATATTGTTTTCTCGTTACAATCTCATGTTATACATTACTGTACCTTACAAATCGCGGCTAGATTTTTAAACCTAAAAAACCAGCGGATTTTTGGTAAAATCGTAACTCAGTAGGTAGGCGCGTCATTCTCTGCGTTGAGAGTACTCGTATCTTAACAGCGAGTAAGGCGAACGCAGTTTATTATACCAAAGATTCGAGTTGCTGTAAATTTCAAATTAAACGCTTTGGATTTTTATTTTTTTACGAGTTTCGGGAAAGGTGCTTAAACCCGCGATGGGCGTTTTCTACGAGGGGAGAGCGAGCACATATTTAAGTGACGCGCCTAAGATATCCCAGCTTTAAGGGATTTGGCCCGGTACATAGCACCAAATTCGTGTACATACACGGGAACTTTCGCTGTCGCGCGCTCCCAAACGCGTTTTTGCATTACTTAATGGTATTTTGTAGCCAAAAGATTTGTATACAAAGGTGTCAAATCCGTTTTTGCGCGCAACATCCGGTTCGGGAGTTATGGCTGTTAGAAAATTCCAAAAAGTTTAAATGCAAAAAAGTGTACCAAAAGTCTCATTACCACACCGATCCCTTTCAAATTTTGCAGGTAAATGCGCATAACCATGAAGGTCGTTCTTTCACCGATCCACTGTTCAAGCATGCTTTTCAAATTTTAAAATGAATTTCAGAAATTTTAAAATTTATTTTAAAATTCGAAAAAAATCGTGAAAGTTTGGATCCGTGTAAGAACGATCTTCATGGTTACATATGTGCATTTACGTGCAAAATTTGAAAGGGATCGGTCCATAATGAGACTTTTGGTACACCTGAATGCATTAACACTTCTTAGAATTTTCTAACCGCCATAACTCCCGAACCAGATGTTGCGCGCAAAAACGGATTTCACGCCTATGTATACAAATCATTTGACTACACAGTGTCAAAAAGCAACCTAAAAAAGTGTTTGGAAGTGCGCGAAAGCGAATATTCCCGTGTATGTACACGAATTTGATGCTATGTACCGGGCCAAATTCCTTAACGAAAAAGATATTATTGGTACGAACAAAACGCCCTAAAGTTTAAGTTTTTCTTGCTCCCCAAAGTTTTTTCTTTTTTACTTGTATTTGAAGAGTAGATGCACTTAATACTTCATCAAGATGCAGCAAAGCATTGTTATGCTTGAAATCACCCGATGATAAGATTACGAAGGAAACCCCATATTCTAGAAAACATTACATAAAGAACCAGAGAAGCTGTCTCACTAAAAACCGTAAATACGCATTTTAAATGTTCAATTCTTTAAAGGCGATAGTTTAACATTATGCTGCCATCACAAAATATGATTAGCAGGTAACTAAGTTGTAGAAATTTCACCTTTAAATTAAATTTTATCCCAGAGTTGGAACAAACAAGAAAAGGTACTAGTCGCAATTCAGTGCTTTGTCAATAAAGTCTATAAAGTGCCATTAAGGCGACACCCAGGTAACCCAAAGTGCACAGCAGTAAGCAGTTTAGATAGAACCTACGGCTCCGACACAACACTGCGACAGCCAACAATTATACCTCCATGGACTGTAAACAAATTTATCGACAGTTGAGGTTTAGGTTGAATTACTCCATATTCCTTGTGCGATCAAACAAACCTGTTGCAAAAGAAAAGTACAGCGAAATGTTATAATATATATGGAGAGGTAGTAAATAAAGCAAGCTACGCTTAGAAACTGCTTTCGCTGCGAATTCGGCGTTGATCGAAAAAAAAGCTCAGTGACCTCCCGGATTTACGGTGTCAGAAGCCCGAGAGTCTCATGGTGCAGACCACATTATTCGGGTTGATTTCAAGGCTTCGAGGAGGTCAAGACATTAAGGTTATTAAGGGTCACCACAGCGACCTTTAGGTTCGCCGCGTAAAGCAGTCACCTCTTTGGGGGTGTAAAAAATCTTAAAGATCACAAAAGGTTAGATATGACCCAGTTCGTACCACAGTAGAAAACAGATACCATTTTTTGTTACTGTCTTCCGTGTATCTATAAGTGTTTCGGTAGTTTTCTTACTGTATTCTTACTTTTGATGAGATCTGATTTCAGTGTTCGCTGCCAATCAGCTGGTATTCCTACCTAATACCTCTTCCGCTTGTATTCCTACCGTATTACAGTGAAACTCCTGTGAACATTCAACTTCCTATAACATTCACTCCTTTACTGCATACACGAGGCTGGGAACCGAACCGTCCGGTGGACTATAACACAGGGGCAGTTCTCTGAATAATATTCACCCCTTTACAGCGACAACATACATATTTTATGGAACCGGTAGCAGTTTTACAGCTTATTCAACCGCAGCATAACATACAGTTGGCTAGGCTAGTAAAAAAACCATTTCGGTGACTTTAAAACAAAGTTCCGCTTCTATTTGTAATCCGTTCAGTACCGGACTTCCAACTCCAGGCTTACAAAAGGGCAGCAAACCCAACATTCAGACTGAATAATATCCACACTCTGGTATTTTTTTAATTTTTTGGTAAAGTAAAACCCCCGGAGGCTACGACCCTGAGCCCTTGCGGGCAGTGCCCCTAGGGGCAGTGCTCCTGTATAACATACACCTCTCTGTAACATTCAGAAAGCCTGGAATGGAGGGTGTATGTTATAGAGAAGTTTCACTGTAACAACTTTTTAAATATTTAACATTTATGTATTGCTGCAGTCTCCTTTATTGTATCGAGGTATTTTCACGTATTCCACAGGCAATCTGTCCGCATTCAAGGCGTTTCATAAGTTTTTAATTATGAGAACACACTTGTAAATACATGCGGAATACGGAGAATACCCTGACACAATAAAGGAAGCAACAGTCATATCTATAGCTAGATACTGTATCGTCGACTCAAGTTGGCACTATTTTTGATGTGCGCCAAATCTCTGCTGTACGGCACTATGCGTGGCTTGCACAAAGTGAACAAAAAAGCGGCCGATTTTATAAGGTACGCAGTGAGCCATAGGTGCTAAAGGTCACCACAGGGACCTTTGAGGTTCACTCTCGTCTTTGAGGGTGTTGAGACTTTAAAGGTCACTAAAAGTAACCATATGACCTTTCCGGTTCGCCGCGTGAGGAACTCACGTCTTTGAGGGTGTCAAGAACCCGAAAGGTCAACAAAGGTCACCATTGTGACCTTTTGGGTTCGCCGCGTGAGGAACTCACGTCTTTGAGGGTGTCAAGAACCCGAAAGGTCAACAATGGTCACCATTGTGACCTTTTGGGTTCGCCGCGTGAGGAACTCACGTCTTTGAGGGTGTCAAGAACCCGAAAGGTCACCACTGTGACCTTTTGGGTTCGCCGCGTGAGGAACTCAGGTCTTTTGAGGTGTCAAGTACCCGAAAGGTCACTAAAGGGCACTATTGTGACCTTCCGGGTTCGCCGCGTGAGGAACTCACGTCTTTTGAGGTGTCAAGTACCCGAAAGGTCACCTTTGTGTTGGCTCTCCCCGTGAGGAACTTTGCACTTTGCATCACCTTAAAAGAAACGCGGGCTCGCTTCGCTCGCCCGCTTGATGAGTATTTGCAAAACTGCATGCAAAGCTGAAACTAGAAATAAATTTCAGTGCTGTGCTGGCTTAACTTCCCAGTAACGTGCTTAATTGATTGTCCTTAAGGTCTCTTGAAAAGTTGCTAGCTTTGTCTGCAGTACAGTATCGAACGGTGTACATTTAATTGTCGGAATTATCCAATTATAATCCGACAAGATCGTCTATCGCATACAGAAACGTACTTCACTGCATTAAAGACGAAACTGCATTATAAAATTAATTACGATATATAGAGTTTTTGAACTATGTGACCGGGTTTTACAAGTTTTGAGTTGTGCCAGTTGGCGTCTGGTATTATTGTTTGCAAGTACAAAACGACCTGTGTTTGTTGGTCAACAATTTGTTTTTACCCGCTAACAACTGAAGCAACAGTAACTACAAATTTTTACCCTAATACCGTTGCACCGAAGCAACCGTTACCTGGGATGTATACGAGTACGTATGCCATAGAATTAGCAACGCTTCACCCGTTTTACTGTCGCCATTCTCACAAAGCCGCCATTGTCAGTAAATGTCGCCATTGTCACAAAGCGACTCACTGACACTTTGTTGACGAATACTGTGAAATTATAAAATAAGAAAAACGAAGAATCCATAAGAAAACTAGAACTGTTTAGCCGAATATTAGCTCAACTTCGTGACGTGACGGGCCGGCATCTTGTAGGCTGACTTAAGTACTGTTAGTGACGGTCGACAAAATGGTGGGTGACCGTCGCAAAGCACAACTTCACACTTCTGGAATAAGGAAGTGCAAACGCATGCGTTCGTACTTGGTGCACCAGTGTACAACATTACTTTTCTGGATAAAAGACTACGAATCAGATATTACTGGTCTACCAATACGTAATAGCCTGCAAGATTTTGGCACAGAGCGAACTGAGAAGGCCTCTAAATAAATCAAATTTAGCCATTGACCGTACGTACGATGGGTACTTCGCTTTTCCTCATGTTTCGGTCACCAGTCACTTTATACACTGTATTGTACAGCATTTTGACATAATTCTCGACTTAGGGAATGCACCATTGCATAGGCTGCCTTGAAGTACTAGGGTAGTACTGGGAGGAATCGGGGTAATTAACTCTGGACAAGATACTTTTCTATCACTTTTATGTCCATAAAAACATTTAAAAGGTTTGCTTTGTTTATTATTTTAACAATTAATGCCCACCATGCGGTGGGAATGGTGCAGGATAGCAATTCCGATAAGTAAGGGCTTTCGAGTTAAAGACCGTGCGTCAAAGTGCAAGCTATTTTACTTTGAGGAAAACACGCCGTTGGGGCGATGTTTTACTTATTAGGTTACTAGTGCCATCTTATTTCAGACGAATCACATCGTAATAACAGCTGTCCATCATCATGGTCTCAGAAGCCAAAACGTTTTGATTATCCCTTTGCCCTAAAATAATCAAAACTCGCAAAGTCACAATTTTTTCAAAGGAGCTTTCTGGAGTAAGGCAATACCTTAACATCTATCGCGCCACGTGGCTCCAAGCTGAACTCGTCATCTCCGTCTAATAAACCCACTGTTATCGGACTGACGTGAATTCTTGACGCTGCAAAGTCGACTAAATACTTCGGCAATCGTTCGGATGTTAAAGTATTTGCACTCAACCATTTTACCTTTGCCATGGCTTTCCATTCGGCTCGCCGTATTCATCGTGTCACCAAATCTGGAAACAGAGCCATACCGTACCCAAGAGACAACGGCTAGTGCAACTTTTGCTAAACTAAAATTACAGGCAGTAGCGGGGCATAACCGATCCAACAACGCCTGCCGCAATGGAGCCTACAAAAAGGACGTTGAAAAGCATTACAGTTGGAAATTACAGTACCCACCAGTCAGTTCGTTAATTACGCAGTTATACCGGTATGTATTCCAATCCGTATCGGCAAATAACTCTTCAGATTACCCTCACTGCAGTTCTGCAGCATTAACAGAGCAAATCGAGCAACTTCCTTAGCATGTTGTTTTCCGTTTCTAACTGGTACACCGCTGGCGACCTATAAGTTTAGTTTAGAGTTCCCGATTTGAGAAGATTAACGACATAAGGACAGCTGATACACTACAGCTGCTGGAAACCACCACTGTGTAAATTAACGACGAAAATTAAACAGTGGTGTTTTCCAGCTTAATGTGTAGAAATTCGGTGAAATCGGCTAGCAAAGAAAATAACGCATACAAGCATAAATTAGCCGTTGAAAATGTGTTCTGTTACTCTATTGCGTATGTTCGTACAAGAACCTGTACCAAAACGGAAGTACTTACAACGTATCCATCTTTAATCGTTTCGACTTTATACACGTCGAACGAGGCAAGACACCCATCAATTAAAGTGTACAATCCATTCAAAAACAGCTCCACCTCCACAGGAGATTTCGTCTTGCAGTAAATGTCAAACCCAACCATACTGCTGAAGAGTATGGTTACCGCATCGAAACTCTCTGGTGGAATCGCTACTTTGTTCCGCAGCTTTACCACTATCGACCTAGAAATGCGGAAAAACCGTGTTGCAAAAAGAAGATTAAAAAGGGAACTGCTATAAAATTTAAAACTCACGATGGAAGAATTTCTTTGAGTAAGAGGTCAACTTTTTGTTGTTCCTCTATGAGTTCACGAGTTCGGAGAATAACCAGGTTCTCAAGATTTTCAGCATGTTCTTCTAGACGTTCAAGCATATTTCCAACCACAGTTCCCTTTGGTCGAAAACGCCGGAGATGGTCTTTAACTTGGCGAACGGTTGGTCGCAATAAAGGGTCAGCAGCCAGACACTGAAGAATGACAGGAACTACGGCCTTCTGGAAGCTTTTCTTCGTGTATGTAACTGACGCTGTAAACAGAATGAAGGTCAACTTAATCTTTGATTTGTAAGAAATAATGCGCAGATGCTGACTTATATCGATTGGTTCTCGCGGAGTGACCTTTCTGCCTTTGAGGATTTCATACATAATGACGCCCAGTGCAAAGATATCCATTCCCTGTGAACCGCTAACTTTTCTTTCGGGGGCAGTCAAGACACCCCATTCCGTGATAATAAAGGGGCATTTATACAGAATGTGGCAGACACTTTTTGAGCCAATATCGCAAATTTTGGCTGTGAACCGGCTATCTAGGACTATGGACAAGCTAGATAGACTTCCGTGATATCGTAGTGAAGTATGGCTGTGAATATAAGACAGTCCCTAAAAACAGTAAGTTTTTTCGCTTTTAAAATAACTTTCTAGAATTTCATGGGTAGACTCTACTTGGACTATGTTGAAGATGAAGCATAACTGTACAGTTCCGTCAGGTATTACGATATCCCTGGATAACAACGACCGCAGTGTATCCCGTCCACCGTCCCAAACCACGGCTGTGATATTAGCAGTTACGATGACGATGCCAAGAAAATCCGCAATATTGTCGTGATGAATATTCCTTAGCTAGAATCAGGAACATTCCCAAAGGAATATAATGTACGAGTAAAATGACAAAAATGCGAGAGAATTCTCTGCATGATGAGTTTTTGTACTTGCGAGCAAAGGATACGAAGGTTTGGCATCAGCAAGGCTGTCTCTTTGCGAACAGGTATCTTTTCTATGCGGATGCAAAGAGACTGATTGCCCAGACGGACCAATCGAATACCGGATTCACGCGCTAATTCATCGGCAATGGATTCGTATGGTTGTGGATCGAGGAGGAACCAATCGCTTTTATCCAATGTCACCGCACGCTTGCTACAAAATTTGCGAGTATTTTGTGATCAGACAAAAAGCAGTTAGAAGGCTTACATGCGACATGCTACCAGTAAGATAATAACTGCGATAACCACCACTCCGCAAACTGATCCAGCAAAGACCGCAGTGGTATCTACGTTCATTCAGGATGCGTCGTTATTAACTGTTTTTAGATTTCCATGAGTCAAGGCGGAAGAAATACCGTTCCCATCGGTGCAGCGGTCACCCTGGTATCCGCATTCAGGCACACTGCGAGGAGGCTTACGGGCGCCGTTCCAGTCATTCGCCAACTGCGATGTTTTACTCAATAATTTCATGGCAAAGTTATAATACCATGCAGCCTGTAAAAAATATGAAAACAGGATCGACTATATACCTCATTGTATCGCATATATTTTTAGCGTCTGTACTGACCTCGAGCTTTTGGCTCGTCGTATCAAATCGCGAGAAAACAGAATCACATAAACGCATTCCAAACCCGCCCATTACGACAGGACGTATGTCTGTCTGGAAGCTTCGGTTCAATAACGCGTTGCGGAACACGCTAGTGGTCAGTGGAGCGGCGCTTGTGTCGAATTCATCCAGAACCTGACCACAGTAAATTGGAATCATGATAAATGTCTTTTATGTACATGTGCACTTATACTTGACTATGGTCACACCTGACCACTTGCTAAACATTGAAATCACTACTAAAAATTGATACATGAATCCGAAAATGTTGTATCCAGTTTTTGTGGCAAACACACCGGTTTTGCTTTAATAGCTGGCGCTACAGAATGAATATTCTAATATTCATGATCTTTACGTACAAGGCATATCATTTTATTTACCTCGGCCACAGCCATCATCATTTCCGGAATCGCTAGCATGATCTCACTATTCTATAAATTATAAGATTTCATTGTTCGTACATAACTTTTACACGCGCGCTTATTTTCTGTTATACGAACCTTTTCTTCCAGGCTATAGTTGTAATGGAACTTGGTCAGCGCTTCAAGAGCCACAGAGTCGATAAAGGGCGCCAACGTGACATAATCTGGCAGCCGGTAGTTCAATGTGATGAGATACCTCCACGCTTCCAGAAGAACCTGTAATGATGCACCGTGTCGCTCAAGCCGTCTCTGCGGAAAACCTTACAAATTTAATTTCCGCGTTCGGCTGGGGGGCTCCGATCCAAGTACACGCCTTTTTTGGCGATGATATTAGTATGTTTACACACTAAATGATTTCTAAGCACAAAGCCGCCACGATAAAAGTGCTATTGGGCAAAGTTCCCAAAAACCTTTCATTAACGTTTATGCACCTAATTTGCGCTCCACCAGATCTGCAGCATCTGACATCCAGAAACCAGACCAGGTAATCGGAAAGTAGAAGGCGCGTGCTTTATTGAAAAAAATACGACCTTAGCGATTGGTGATTTTTTAAACGCAGTACGCGGTATTTCAACCAGATAAGTACATGAGGAAACTACGTAACGCAGTTACGTAATTACGTATCCACAATTTCTACATACTGCAGATCGCTAAAGGGTATTCGACGTGACTAACAGATACCAGTAAAAATTAAGTGAGAAATTAAGTCTCATGTAGCAACACGTTGCTGCCCACACACCTTGTCATCCTCTGAGCCGGTTTCAATCTCTAAGGGAATGAAACCAGGGCCTTGAACCGGCAAAACGTTGAGGAAAACCTGGAATAGGAAACCAATAGGTTTCTTAAGAACACCTCCTAGCGATCGCTTTTCTTACGTATTCATTGTTGGTCATGTTCAAGCTGTGCGCGGCGATCTGTTGAAACATCATTTCTTCAACATGAACATCCCAACAAGTAAACAAATTCATGAGCTTTTCCTACCAGGATTTTACGCAGCTCATCGGCGCAAGCCAGGATAATTATTACTGCATGGAAAACGTTTTTGCATGATTGCGCTAAATAATAATTATGCGTTAAATCATCGAACTGCACCTCTGCTTTGACGCTTCGCTCTTCGCAGGCGTGCCACATAGTCTTGTGGAACTTTCGAATCATAGAATTCCGTGTAGAAATCGTACTTTCCTACAACGTTTAGTAAAGCCGTCGCGGACCGGCACTGTGAGCCCAAATTAGGCGCAATTGGAGGCACAGCGGAAACGGCATCGCAAAACAACGTAAGAGTCGTCCAGTTGTAGTAATCTAAAAATGCTTTAATGGCTGGCCCGTGACCTCCTTGGCCAGTGGATCCGAAAGACAAAAACGTTGAATAACGCTGTGCGTTGGCAAACATCGCGTCCGTTGATGTACTGCATCACCAGTTAAAACCAATTATATCAGCTTAATTACCATGGCGGATAGCGTAAGCGTTTTAGTTTACCTTGCTAATAAAGGCACATTCATCTCTGTAAACGTGAAATCTTTGAAATTTTTACTGAGAATCGATATACGCAGTCTGACATACCACGAGCAAAATCTCCCAATGGAACCAATTCCAGGCTGCATCCTGTGCGTTTAAAATTTGAACAACGCATTCTTTGAACATAATTATGTGTAAACTGTAAAGTCACTATGTTTACCTGGAGCGATAATAATATTGAATGCTGATGACCGTTCAATAGCTTGATAAATTTTCCCGGTTAGGACGTTCATAGCCGCTGCGCTGTCAACGCAATCAGAGATGTTTGGCTTATATATTACTTGGCGGGTCATGTTCGCAAAGACCGTTGGGTATAACTTGGCCACCTCTTGAAATGATGCTTCAAAATACGGCAGAGATGCGAAATAGCCATACGCTGGATTTTCTCCAATAACCACCACCACGAAATTCACATCAAGGCTGTAAATGCGACATAACACAAATGCTAGGCAAAAACCCAAGCTGAATTTGTCGATCATCCCGAAGTTTTGATAAGAGCAGTTTGTGGGAAACGTGAAAGGTTCTGCTGTTTGAATTTAACAAAATTTTCGGTTGCAGATTATACTCGTATAAACTATTGATATTTACCGCCCCGACGCTACCAATGCAGATTTGAATGCCCTGCCTGGAATGGTAGGCGTAAAGGATCGACTCTGCTAAGTCCCCAGGATTACCAGCACCGCAGGAGATAACAAGGCGACAATGTATATTTTATTTCAACCAGCAAGAAACGATGCTGCGTATTGTATAAAGGTTAGCATCATACTGTCATAAAGGCAGGAAGTCGGTACGTCGATCTGGTTTGAAGATAAGGTAAAGCCGGCAGTAGTTCAAAATTCCATGCCGGCCGGATGCTGTACAGCATCCGGCCAGCATGGAAATTTTGAACTGCTGCCTGGTTTACTTAATCGACGATGCATGCAGAATCCACCATAAAGCTATTTAATGTTAATGAACCAGGGCATGGTTTTCAAAGGTGCGCTTTGCTGAGTTTGCTGCATAAATGCAAGAGCACCCATACTACTGCTTAGTTGAGAAATGCACGAAATCGGTCCATTGATTTCCTTTGAGAGAGCCTTACACGAACACCAGGAGTTCCGCCGAAAGTACAACTGTTGCTCTTGTACGATCTGTATAAGGTGGTAATTTGTAATTTTGCTTTCATCAGGTAACGGATTCTTGCGATAGCGTTTCATGAAACATTAAAAAATATTTTTACAGTGTGAAACAATTACAGCGACAGCAACTACATTTTATTTGCCGATGTACAGTAATCCCTTTCTAAAAACTGCGCTACATAAA